ATAACCAAATAAATTACCACAACTACAATTTCATCATAATTAAAGGAACCGTGAAAAAGTGAATTTATTATTATTTTTACCAATCGTTTTGAAATTGTAGTTGTGGTAATTTATTTGGTTATCACCTTCCTAAAATAATCGTTTTAATATGAACTGTTTTGAGGAGAGTTTACGTAGTGTATGCAGATAAAATTTATTTATGGGTGCACATCAAAGAAAATGTGATTTTATTAAGCTTCACACGATTGTTGATGAAGAATTCACAGTTCGGCTTCTTTATACTCAAAAAAGCTATCACGTATCATATGTGATACTTCTGTAACTAAAGGATAAATAAAAACATCGAAACGTTTGACAATAAAAGAACAATAAATACGAAGAAAAAAAAGAAAAATTTATATTAGTGTTTAAAACAGTAGCTTTTCAAAACGGAACAAAGATAATTATGTGCTACATACGGGTGACATGTGTGTGTCATGATTCGTAGACCAAAAAAAATGAGAGGATATGTTATTGTTGTTTTAAAATAGAAAGAAATACTTATGAGCTATATAAAGTAGGAAGTTTTTGAACAAGTTGGAACCATAATCTTTCATAATTGTAAATTTGGATATTTATACGCTAGCGAGTGCCAATATTTCTGTTGCACTGAGTTCACGTCTATACGTATAAAATTCATCTAAGTATCCTTGAAATGAAATGCCAGGACTATAACCATACCCAATATTCCAGCTGTATCCAAGTGTTACAAAAAAAGGAAAACCACAATTACCGTATGTAGTGGCGGACACTGAACCTTCTTGAACACCATCAACATAGAGAATAAGACCATTTGAGGAACTATAGGTACCGGCAACATGTGTCCATGTATTTATCGATAAACGCCTACCAATATAACTTTGATAACTAGAACTCTGATACAGTTGTGCAAGAATTTGTCCACTATACGTAAGTGCCAGTACATCATGACCATTACAAGTAGTACCACTGCCAGAATTACTATGGTAATATGATACATGTACAATTGAACCACCAGCAATCGATGTTGGATAAATCCATATTGCAAATGTATATGGTTTGTTATTAAACATAGCCATTTGATAAAAACAACACATTTGAAAATAAGATGGTGTTATAGCGGGTCGAATTCCCTGATTCACACGTCCCGTGGTAGTTGATATCGACAAATAATTCGAGTAAGAAGTAAAATAATTCCAGTAAGCAGTATTATTGAAAAGACTCAGTAAATTGCCATAGAATGGATTTGGTAAATCAAATGAATAATAAAACATTAGTGTAGCGTCATCGGAAATTTCCGATGCACTTTTAGCCCGTGTTGTGAGGGCTAAATTATCAATATACCCGAAGTAATAATATGATGTTGACTGTGCTCCAATTATTATTGAACCATTTTGACCTTGGTAAGGCTGTGTACTCGTTCGTACACCATCTTGCACGCCATCCAGATAAATTATTTGTTGTGATGTTGCGTAATTGTAAACAAATGCAACATGATACCAGACACTTGCTGTTAATTGCGTTGTCCCTTGTAAATCATTGAATCCAAAGCTCATATATAATCGACCACCGCGGAGGATTAAAGTTAAGCATTGATTTGTGCACGTTATACATGCACACTGGCTGAATATCGTATTATCACCACTTACTGTTGTTGGATATATCCAGGCTTCTACTGTAAAACTTCGATAGGACATATTGAAATATGATGAAACTGTAAACCGTTGACTTGAAACAGAGAGTGAATTACCAAATGAAGAATATGTTGGGGAATGAAAATAATTAACTGATGAATAACTGCCCGTATTAACACCATTATAAGTGCCATATAAGTCATTAGCAGTATTGTCAAATGACCAATAGGCAGACTCCAATGTCCAAGAGGCAATTGTTGTAGTAGTTGTTGTTACCTCTAAAATTCAAAATTACTCTTGCCAGCTTAATCCATCCAGTTTAGAAATTAAATCTATAAGAGGATAAATTTCTTTTAGTCCTTTTCACACTTCTCCTCTATCTAGTGGGTAAGCCAAAAAGTCAAGACTGATTGTTTACTTCTCGTGCTAAGATCGTTTGGAAGAAATTCGAATACGAGTAAACGAGAAGAGAGGATATATGCCGATAAGTTTATCTTTCAGTCAAAACATTTCTTGAGAAATTTATATGTAGGTATGACTAGCAAAAATTCTGAGCAAAACTGTCCATTTTGACTTCCAGCTTTTTATCGTTTGTTCCATCAACCTCACTGTAATGTGCTTCCATTTTTATCGTTTCTATCTGTTTTCATTTTACTCATATTTCTATATCGTATTACGTTGTACAGTTATCTTTTACCTTTCCTCTAATGGAATGTCAACTCTGCATCTCACTGTCTTCACTGGTGCATATAGACTTGACATATATGCTTTTGATCATCTCAGGACTTTTATCTATTTTCCAATAAGGCAACCATTCATCTAACAGAATGTTAGCGTCCCTCGCTACACCGGACTGAATTTACACAAATCTACCAGCAAGAAAATTGTATACTAATGGATGAAGAGTATATCTTTTCTTTCTTTTGTCACATCCAGTTCCCTCAATTCCCATTTTCATTTCTTCTATCTCCTCTTCTGTAACCTATGAGTTATGCAACTTTGTATAGTAGATCCTCAGGTATCTAATGAATTAATTTCTACTGAAAATCTAGTCAAGGTTTCGTGACTGACGAGGTGATTTTCCAAAGATTTCACGGCAAAATTATCTTGGATCCACTTGAGAACATTAGGATTTGCATTCAATTACGTCTTCTGAAGTTGTGCTACATGGTGATCAAAACTGCACACTAAAATAAAATGTATCCCATTTATGTGTCATGCACGAATATGTCGCAGATACCACTATGAAAATGTGTCGTACCAGAATGTGTTGCATTTTAGATGAGTCGTAGTCTATATGCTAACCATTCATTCACGGTTTTGTTTCGCACGTGCAGCTATACATAACCGATTCGATCGGACGTACTTATCTTATACATTTTTGCATGTCTTTTTTTAGATTATTTCTCGATCATTTATTATTCGAGAACATGTCGAGAAGTTGCTAGATGATCGAGAATGGACTGCCTTGAAGCGGTTCGATCAAGATCAAATGATCTCGAGACGGTTAGATCTTAACCTCTCTTTGTTTTGAACTCCAAAAATAGATGCTACTGATTCGAATTAAACTAAAAAAAGAGTATTTATTCGACTTTTTCAATAAAAAAATAATCTACGTGCCGCAAAGTGAATTCGAACCACGTTCGAAAAATGTGTCGTAAAGTGTGACACTTGCGACACATTTTATCTTAGTGTATCGACTTATTCACACTGTAGTCTCCTATCGTCTTTTTTGAAAAAGACAGTATTTAGGTTATTAATGAACTGGCAATACTTTTACAAAAGGTGCACCTAAAAGTAACACCACATATATGGTGGAACATTCTACACATTTGTCTATGTAATCTTTCTCGTGAGTTCAAGACACAATCGCTGAAAATTGAAAGATCTAACAGATATGGGCTCTTATTGAAGACGCGAACGTTCCAAATCAAAAAGTGTTATTCTCACTAGATCGAGGTGATTCTAGAAACACACAGACTGTTTGAACTAGAGAAATATTTCCCGTGCATAGTGTCTACTCCACCCACAAACAGCCATGCAAGCATCCATAAGTTTTACCCGTGAAAAGATCGAGATGAGTTACGTATACACACAAAATAATTAGACCTTCATTTTCTAGTTTAATAAGGCTATTTAGAGCTCAAGATATCGTCAATAACTTTCTTAGGCCAGCATATGGAAGCAGAATTTGCCGGATCTATGCCTAATTTGTACTAGTCTGTTCATTGATGATAGATATGGGTATTATGGTCATCCATGAGATGATACAACACTATGTATGGGAAATCTTTCTCCAATGGAAATAGTTTGGATATTCATGGTCGTTGTCGTCTTGTACAAGAGCTTATCAAACGTCATTCTAATAAATCAATTATCTTATTCTATAAAAATGAATTCGTATTTGGATTTGAAGTGATCAGATGTGCTATATATTTACCCGATTTTCGAGTTAATAGAACGGCTGGAACAATTATCCCAACAATTAGGCCGCATATGACCAAACCCACTACAAGACCAATTAAGATCTTCTTTTGCGTTGACCACCTACAATTGATGAAACAAAGACACAAGTCAATATACACTAAAACAAAAGACAGGTATTATCTATTCAATTCGTTATAGATGGGAGATTTTCTGAAGGCGTGGAAACAATTGTATTTTTTCCAGCGAATTCAAGTGACAAATGGTACAAGTGTGAGCTCTATACCAAATAAAAACTCATTCAAGATGAGATTGATATGCATGGCTGATAATCTATAGGACGTGATGAGCTCAAGAATTATGAAATTTTAAAAGTTTTACAGAGCATAATAGTTCTAATGGGACGAGAGTTGTTCATAAGACATACAAGAGACTATTTCTGGTTGCATAATGGTACAAACATCAGTCGAATAATTGAAAGTTGTTGTTTGAATTGGTACAACAATTACTTTTCGTTCTTCTCATAGAGATTTGTTTATCATAAAATAGTCATAGTCATAGAGGAGAAAGAAGCAGCAGTCATTCGTAGTCGCAACAAGTCATTTCGTCCTAAGAGACACCACTACTTTTCAGTTATTTGACTGATGTCCGCACTAGAAGAATATCGACTTTTCTCACAGAGTCGTTTACCCAGCTGAAAATATCACGGTAGACTATTGGTATGATTTGAAAAAAGATACCGCGAAGAAAAAAAAAATTTCCCATCGGTAATAACGGGGATTCCCGTTTCCACACGGATCCTATAATATCTCTATAGGTTCACAGTGAAAAACTACATTGGTTTAAATTCTATATCCCCAGACAACGATAATTTCAAAATATAGTATTAATTCATCTAAAAAAACATGAAAAAGGATCTCGCACGATAAGACTGGAAATCTGCCACCCCCCCTAACATCAAATTTTGATATTATTACCTTGTACCTTGTACCTTACCTTACATTTATTCACTTCAGTTTTTCTGAAAGAATTCGCAGTTGCTGAGCTAGACCTTCATCTTCGCGGCTAAGTAATGAGGTAAAATTTTGACCCTTGAAGCGCACTTTTCTCTGCCATAAAAAGATATTTTTAAAATTCTTATTACAAATTCAGAATCAGCATGAAACACTTCATCATCCTACATAGCTTTTGTCTTTTGAAAATTTATAATGGTCAAAAAAAGTACAAACAAATTCATGCATCTATTCATACATTGAACATGTGCAAAATGTTGAGATGAGATTATCTCAAAAACAAAAAATAACTCATCGCCGAAACTTTCTTAAAAACTTACTTATATATCCAGCTTCCTTTTGATATTATCGTGATTTTAAAACTTTTAGTCCAAAGTTCCACTTTATACTTAAACATTCTCAAATATTCCCATCTTGTACATAAATTCAGTTAGTATTTATCGGTTTTAATCATCAGCACTTCATTTTCAAACAAAAATCATGTGATAGTCGGAATCAACATCAAAATCTGAGTAGAATGACAGTTGTTCATGAACCCTTTTTGAGTATATGAACGAAATAAAGCCTTAGACAAAGGGTTTGTTATTCTACGTTTTAAAGGCAACCGTAGAATAACAAAACCCATTGCCTAAGGGTTTATTTCGTTCATATACTCAAAAAGGGTTCATGAACACAGAAAACAGTACAAGGGTATATGAAAATGCAACGTATAACAAACCCTTGCCAAGGTTTATGAATAAAAAGGGTTTATGAGAGGGTAGATTACGTCCATAAACCTAAAAAGGGTTTATGTTGTAGTTATAAACCGTTTTTGATGGTTTATTATTCTATGCCCATTTTTCCAGTGCAAGATAGTAACCGGATTTAAATAACTGAGAACTCATCTGAACTATCTTTCAAGCAAACTGAGCCTATGAATTATGACTGTTTTCTCTAACTATTACTCAGTTTAGAAACCAAATGCATATAATCTCGTTAGGTTTTTGAACGTGTTTTTATATTGCTCAAAAATTTATCGCGCCGATCACGGGTAAAAATGTGCTCTTTTTACGATTCTATTTTCGTCAAAATTTCGATGCATTTTCATGTGTTATTTTTTATTGTTTGCCTAACCAGGATCTGCCGAGTTTATTTTCGACATTCTTATCTTTTGGTCCAGTCATGGAGTGTAATCGATCTGCTGAGGTTTCTCCATAATGGTTGACGTGGCTTCGTCGTGTTTCACATTTGAATCTCTTGGACATTACACTGAAAGTTTTCTTTATCGATCGGTTTCTCTGTCAATCAATTTATCGCCTAATGCGCTCTCAGATGAATTGATGTGCCATCTGATAACACAGAATACTTCCTATTCCGCGATGTTGCACTTTGCGAAACCAGTTCCGTCATCGGAATCAGTTCTATCCAATTCTCGGAGCTTGATCCACTTTGAGCCTAAGAGATCCACTCACCATTGATCGAGTTCCATCAATTCCGGTAACTCCGAAATTCAATTCCGGAATTCCTGATAGGAATTAGGTCGCCCTCTCATTCTCATGCATACTGATGTGCTTAAAGATTAATCCATTCAACTACTACCCAATTCCGGTACGGAATTTCGGGAATTGAGTCAAGAAGGACTTGCAT